CTACATATATCCACATTTTTTTATCACAATTATTTACTATATATCTATATACATATATAAAAGAAAATGCAGGGTGTTACAACATTAAGTGGACCTTCTCTCACGATTAAACATATGGATTGCTAGACACTACCTAGAGGGGTGATGAATAGGTTAATTAAAATTATGCTTAAACAAACAAAAATTTGAACCTAGTTCTATCACAATTACCTCTTCTAACAATGATTATGAAAATAAGCATGAGAACCCCCCCCCCCCCTTTCAAGCACAACCCATGAAGATTGATGTATTTATTTTATCAAATTACTAATTAACACTCAATCCCTCACGATGATCCCAACCCAATGACAACAAACCCAATCAAGCAACTATGTAGGATATGAATATTCAAACAATCAATTTATCGAACACATAGAACCCGTATGTGCTGAAATTGCAAGTGTGTATGTAAAAATAATAAGGAACACAAACAATTTGTTGACATGGAAACTCTTCTCGAAAAAAACTGAGGGGAAACACTCTAAGGTTCACCAAAGCCTAATCCACAATCCAAAAGTTAGTTTACAAATACTCGAGATTTATACATCAACCAATACTATGGTTAGACGCTCATTTCTTTCAATAAACCTCTCCGTCGAAAGTCCTTTTTCCATGCTATTGATAGCTTCACTAGAACTTCCCCGTTGTAAAGTTCATTTAGGCCTCGAGTGATCTTCTCTGCCAAGATCCTCGATATGCACACTTGCCAATGGAATTGGTTTAACCAACCAAGTTCTTCTCCAAAGTGTGAAATTGAATAGGAATCATAAGGTTTAGAGGCTGAAAATATGTCCACAAAAGAAGTAACCCTAGTTAGGAACACTTCCTCTATTTATAGGCTCGGGATAGAATTTGTCTTAGGGCCCAAAAAAACACAATTTCGTGAATGATTGCTCGAATAGTGGAGGACAATAGTAACTAGAATAAAATTTACAATCAAACCAAAACTACAAAACAGAGACCGGTTGAGCAATCTCAGGACCGCTCAAGTGGCTTGCGAGTGCCCAAAGGGTAATCCACAATCCTCTCTACCACATGCTTAGCATTTTTTCCCTAATTTTTCCTAAAGTATTTTAAAGACCGCTCAAGCGAACGCTAACGAACATAGGGTGGTTTCTATTGATTTTTATGCCTAAAACCAAGCAAAAAACTAGTCCATATGAACATTAAAAGATGTTGCTCAACAGGGTTCCGATAATAACTCAATGTATGTTTAAAAAACACAAAGAGGTTTAGAAAAAATTATCTAAAATTCACTTAAGTGTCATACACATATCAACACCAATTTCATTTAACACTAATCATCCTAAGTCTAATAAATTAAATTAAGGGTTCTTAAGTCTCTAAGCTCATTACCTTTATCCTAAACAAAAAAAATCATACAAAGAGTTCTTTTGATGTAACTTGAAACATGATCTCCTCCATTCCATTTGACGCTTTCAAATCTTCATCGTTATAATATCGTGATCATTGAATGAGTTGAAATTTACAAAGACTTCACGAAATTAATCAATTACAATGATCTAACATATTATATGTCATGCCCCAAATTTCACAAAAGTGTGATTAAAAAAATTACTTTGTTTATTCCAAAGCCATGCCGATTTGTTGTAAAAACATCTAAAAAAGTATCACTTTAGCTTAAATAAATTATTTTTTTAGAAAATTTTGTCATAGTTTCCTTTGAAAATCGGGCATCCAAATAATTGGTGAGAGCTACCAGTGAGAGCATTAAACACAATAATTATACCTAACTAGTCATTCGTATCATATCAATCATATAAATCCCTTCTCATGATATTCACAAATAAGTTATTACCGTTCAATACCAGGGTGGCAAATGAAGGGCCATGAAGTCCTCCCAAACCCGGGTTATAATCTAATTATCCAAAAAAATTTGTCATGAACATAATATACAGAATATCTAAAATCTTTATAAGTAAACCATTTAAAAGGTCCTAACATATACATATTCCCTCAAATTAACTAAGATATAGATCACTTACAAGTCCTCAATAATATACATCAATGTACATTGTTCTTTCATGCTCTAACTAAATATATAAAAATCATAACAACTATCTTCTGTCTCGATACTCCCACTATTTAGTCCACTAACATATGCCCATAACTAAAAAATGTTAAATGATAAGGGTTAACAACCACACACTCAGTAAGATAATCCTTTTCTCAAGCATATACACAATTTTAAATTGAGGTTGTTGATGGTAGTTATATACTTATAATGTAATTGACTATGAAAAAAGATTGATAGATTTTTAAGTTGTTCATATTATGCTCATTATACATTACATTTGCATATACGCGGGAAGTTGCACATTCATGGGCACTTGACATGAGTGTGGGTGTGAGTGTGCATGTTTTTGGATCAAATATCATTATTGGTGGTTAAGGTGTGGACTCAAGAAGGTTGGACCTAGGTCTAGCTGAGTTGCACAGTTGTATAAAAAACTTGTGTTGGATATAGCAAAACGGACTAAATTCTCTCTCGGTGCAAGAGCCGGTTACTGGTTTATATCTTTCCAATGGTGCAAGTCCAAAAAAGTGTATCGGTGCACAGAATCGGCGGTGAAGATACTAAAATCTGTGTACCCAAGAAAGACACATGATTTATTTTGTAAAATGATCATTGGATGTGTAACATCAATGGCGGGGCTTGGAATGCTCGAATTCATACACATTGCATTGCATGTGTTGAGGGAGCCGGTGAAGACTTGAGTTGAGTTGCATGTATGAGTCTCATCTCATAACATGGCATAGCGTAGAGGATCTATTATGAATTGCATATTCTTGATTGGATTATTTGTTACTTGTTGAACTGCATGTGAACATTTCATATGCATCTAGGTTGGAAAGTAGCATTTTTAAGAGATACCCTATTGAGTCTGACTCACCTTTTAAGGGACAACATTTCAAGTTCGGGACATGCATCGATGGATGGCTCTCACTCGGGTCCTCATTGATGAAGAAAAGCCAAGATGTGTCTTTACCTTATTTTTTTTGTAAAACTAGTATGTAATTTAGTTTTTGGACATGTAATTGTATGTAAAGGATTGTAATCGAACTCATATAAACTATATTTACTGTAAAATTTTATGTTATATGAGTTTAGGTTAATGATGTATAAGGTTGGAATGAATTGGAATTGAAAAACGATAGAATCAATGGAAAATTGGTGAGATCTATCGATAGAGCTTTCGTTATCTATAGGTAGAACATTTTTAGTAGGCTCTTCTACCAGTAGAACGTCGAGTTTTGCCTGTAGAACACTGATATTCCTTCTAGTAGAAGAATTTCATAAGGTTTTTCTACCAATAGAACATGGACTTTTTCTACCGGTAGGTTCCCTTCAGTTTTCGAAAAACTTAAGTCAGTGAACCCTTCTACAGGTAGGTTTTCTTCAAATTTAAAAAAAAAGTTCAAATATATTTGCTAAACCTCCAAGCATCAACTTCTTTTGCTCAAAAGGTGGTAGATGGAGTAATAAGTATAAATTGACATATATTGGATCTTAGAATGGTCAAATGATTGAATGTACACAGATTATGCAGTGGGAGTACCCGGTACAAGAAAGACTCTACCCAAACTCTGTGTGGATTATGGCCCCAGTAATGAGGATGTCGGGCTATGTGGCACGCACAGGTACTTCTACGAGTTGATAGGTGATCAACGGGTTGACAAAAGAATCCCAGTTTTAGGGGCTTTACAATGATGTTCACCAATCTCTATAAGTCATACACATAATTCGAGTTCATGTTTGAACGTTAGGGAAAACAAACAAGCATATATGCAAGAGAAGGGAAAACCCTACCTCAAAACCCAAGAACCCAAACTCTACCTTCAAATCTTCAAGAGAATTCAAGAATCTCAAATAATGTTCTTAAATTTTCAAGCAAAAGCCTAACCTCTAATGACCTTCTATCTTCCCCTCTGTTTCTCTCTCTAATTATAAGGTTTATGGAGTAATATTGGGTGAGAGGTGTGAGAAAAATGAGAGAAATAGACGTGAAAATGGGGTTATAAGGACATAAATTTGTGTCGGACTATTCATAGGACAAAAAAAAATATATTTTTTTTTCAAAATTACAATTTTGCCCCGAAAACTTCTCTAATTTAATCAATATTACTATCTTAAGGTTTTTCGATATTCCGAATCCATTTTTAATATTATTTTAGGCTAAAAACATTTATTTTTATGAGTTCTATAAAAATCCAAGACAAATTATGCCCAAAATGCCAAATTTACAATTTTTACCATTTTAGATCGCAATACCGATTCTTGAATTCAATAGCGATGTTCTTTTGACCTATAAACTTTTAGAATGATTATTTAACTGCCCTTCTAAATCTTACATACCTCAAACTCTATATTTGACCCAAAATTCATTATGCACAAACTTAAACCTTATAATTATTTTACGAATTACGCTTCAAAATTTTCAAGACCATTTTTATTATTTTATAAACATTCTTAATGTAGTGTGTGTGCGTGTATATGTACATATGTTCAAAAAAATACAAAATCTAACATTATATTACAAGGTTTATCAATTCCTACTCCGCACAAGTTATTCTTTCAAAACAAAATTAAGATTCATGTAATTTAAATCATTCCCCTTACACAATAAATAGAGCTATGGCACGGCCCTATTACCATTATGATAAACGAAGTTGAAAGTTTTTTCCCCTTTTCCCCGACGCATATTGAAGTTGAAAGTTCTATGATCACAAATTTTCCGCTCACTAAATCAAGATGCTAGTATTAATTTGAATTGTTCAATAATAGTCAAAACCCTTTAACTAGTGTTACATAGTTACTTTTGTCGAGCGGATCTTTATTTGAATTAAAGCTAAAAATTGCTCAGCTAAATCCAAGTCCCATAACAGTGTTACATAGTAACAAACTAATAAGCTTAATAGGGTTACATTGTTACTTCGGGCTTTCCCAGACACTCGTAAGAAAAAACAATGCCTGTATCAGTCAACAAAATTTGTGAAGTGCCTCAAATTTCATGGTATGCAAAACATGTTACTACTTTCACGTGCAATAGACAACACAAGTTAATAACTTTGCTGAAAGTCAGCCCTATTCTTCAAAGATATCCTCAAATGAAGTCAGATAAAAACAAACTTACAACTCCATCTTCTGGAACAAAACTTTGGCTACCACCACACTAAGTTTGCATAGAGAGAGCTGTACTTACATGCCATATGAAATGCAGGCCCAAAAAGGGTGGTAACATGAAAGCCAAAGAGAGGACTAAAGACAGGAAGAGGCTACTGACGATTGCAAACATAATCCTGTGGTTGTTGGACAACTGAGGCAGGTTTCTGGGATGGCTGTGGAGAGGTTTCATTGTGGTTGAGAGATTTGCCAGCAGGGGGCAAGCACCTTTTTGAGAAGAAAGTGGCAATACTCTTTGTTCTCCCACTGCCTTTCTCTGCAAATTCCAAGGAGACAAAGCTTAACCCCCCATAACATCTAAATCAGATAGGAGCTAAATAATCAGGTAATTCAGTTGAGCAAAATCCTGACCAAAAGAAAAAGTTAAGGAGCAAAATACCAGGTGAAATTGATAATCCCAGCTTGTCCAGAATATCTTTCTTGACCTGCATAACAAGACAAGTAACATCAGCAAACAACTTTGAAATGAGTAACTATCATTGTCTTCCATTTTAAAAGGAGGGTTTGTCCAAGAGAGCCAACCCCATAGAGTTACATAAATTATGTTGGCCATGTCTTCATGACTATAGAGCATTCACCAATCAGCATATTTAGCCAAACGCCCCTTACTAGAACTGTGTAACTACTCAAATTGATCCACACATGAATTTTTTTGAAGGTCAAAGACCCCGCCCAAAGCAAAAAGACTAAGCTTAAGTTCACATTCAATGCTATAGATACGAATATAACTAGGTGTGGACAACACTAGACTTCAGTCATAGGAATAAAATTGATTATATTCGTATCTATAGCCGTTATCTTCGCTAGGGCCATTCCCAGCTACATACAAGTTATACCAGGTCCATAAATTTTGTCAAAATACAACCTTCGGATGCTCAAACTAGCAAACAATAAGTGTATTCTCTAACTGTTGAAAATCAAAATACAAGAGTTTGACTAACCTGCCAACGGTTTTCTGTGAAATCTGATATCTCACGCACTTTATTTCTTAATTGGGACTTTGGGATAGCAGGGAACTTATGTTGCAAAGACTCTACCACTTTGTTAATACCCTGTGAGCATGACTGAATGACAGATACCTGAAATATTAGTTCAAAACATGTCAACCGAAAGATACCGTACTCTCACACATGGGGGTGAATAGCACAAATTTCTGTCAGCATCTAAATTCAAAGATTATGTCATAAATGAAAGTTATATGAACATCTTCAGAGGTTTTGATGCATTCTTTATCAAAACCTCCAGGTTGTTGGCATCCTAGAAAATCACAGGCTTAACTCACAATTTGAGGCAAATCCATCTCCAGTATAGGTGTCACAGCCACCCCTGCTGTGATATTGCCCCTGCTACCTGATGAGCTAGCTTCTTGACCCTGTTGTTGCACAGTATCACCAATTGATATCTCCACATATGGGTCACCAGGGAAAGCAAGCATACTCAGAGCTTGCAAACATGTTTGTTCAAGTTTTAAACTACCACTGAGATCATCAACCAGTAGCAGTGGGGCCTTTTCATGCATTAGATTCAGTATAATTAAGGGCTGATTTTTACGAAGAGCATGCTCAGTCAAGTTGTGTAGACACTTTTGCCGTCGAAACAATATGCAGAACTCCTCACTCTCCAGCTCCTGTTTACGACTCGGGGAACTTCTGGCTTCCTCGTCCAAACAATCAGATTCCATTCTGTCCACTTGTACTCCCTGCATGAGATGTAAACGAGTTTATAATGGAATAAGTTCCTACTTAACAGTGTCAAATGAAATGATCTTTAATGGTGCATTCCATCCCTACAAACCTATTTAACAAAAAATCAGTACACCCCTGCAAAAAACAGTGCCTTACTGCAGTTGCAGCTGCACAGGAAAAAAAAAAAAATAGTTTCTATCATCGTAGCTCTAATTGGAAGTGTGTTCTCATGGGTGGTGTGAAGCATAGTTAATAGATTGAGATTCGTGCTGGGAATTGAAATCCTAAATTTGAGAATCAGGAATCGTAAGATTTGACACTAAATTCGAGCAACGATAAAAAATAACATATAAATACTTAAAATAGGCAAGATATTAAATAATGAGTATTATTATATTTTAAATATAATCTATAATATAAAACAGGGCGGCTTCAACAAGCTGATCTTACGGTCTCAAATTTACTCATCCAACAGTCAAGAAATTATATTTTTTTTCCTTAATATTTTCTTCCCCCCAAAAAGTCAACAATTACGGCTGATCTTGGGACACATCCTATGGTCTCAAATTCATCATCCGACGATCAAGAAATTATAATTTTTTTTTTTTAAATATTTTTCCTCCAATCAATCAACGATCATGGCTGATCTTGGAACATAGGATTTTATTTAACATAATAATTAAATGAGTCAAATTTGTCATTAATATCATTTTTGTAGTGTAAAATTTTGAATTTATATAAAACAAAATAATAACATTTTGATTAAAAAAATTCGTCAATTTAACAAATTAAAAAAACTACGACCTACTTAACACATTTATATTGAATATAATTAATTTTAATTTTAATTATTTAATTAATTATCTCAAACTAACATGTCTTACATGTATCTTGAATCAAAAGTTCAAGACTAATTTTTTTTTTATCTCTTAAGAAAATCCAAAACTAATATATCCTTATAAATTACTAATTTTTTAATAACTTGTACTAATTAAAAAACTAATATTTTATAAATGATATTTGTAGAACTTTTTTAATAGAACATATTTTGGCGATATGCTATTTGATAAATTAGATTTTTAATTTATATTATATTTGACTCGATTTTGATTACATATATATAAATTAATGTTCAATTTTGATTACATGTATATAAATTAATATTTTATTAAGTCAATTCTATCATATTTCGTGGATTTATCTATAATATAAAATAGAAAAGATTTCAATAAATTCATCCGACGGTCTCAAATAAATTCATCAAATGGCTACCAACAACTCTCTGAAAATCATTTAAATTGAATTTTACTTTCCTCTTCTCATTCTTCACTCTCTCTCTCTTTGGCAGAGGTGGATAGAGGAGGGGGTGTAGGACCACCCTCAAATTTTTTTTTTTTTGTTATATATGTTTTATATATTTTTTTGGATATTCTAAATTGGGCCCGTCGTAATGATTTATGAAAAAAAATTAATTGGGTCAAACAAGTTGGGTACTAGAACCCAAAAAAAAAAAGTCCATATCAAATCTCTTAAAATTAGCAAATTAAAATTGATTCCTTAAAGTATTGGTCTTATTTGTTGGAGCTTCCTTTGGTTCAAAAATTATGGAATATATAGTCAAAAATGAGTAAAATGTAAAATTTATAAGAAGATTAAATATTATAGAATATTACTTTTATTTGTGTCAAATCTATAATATTAAATATAATAGACTTCAATAAATTCATTTGACGGTCTCAAATAAACTCATCTAACGGCCTCCAACATCCCTCTCAAAACCATTCACATTGAATTTCTACCCTCCCAAATTCATCACTTCTCACTCATGTTACATTGTGTCTTCAGACACGGGTTTCCCCTAATCAATTGACAAGTATTGACATGATCACATCGTCTAAATGGAAAGACCCTAACCTTTATAAATCATAATAAAACTACACTTGAGTTTGTACCCTTGTTGCCTCTTTCTTAATGCATAATAAATTGTTTACTCAAGATGACCACGATAAATGATATATGATTTTAACCAACAAATAGCTATTGTCTTGCTACTAATGGAAAAAGTTCATATTGATTCAAACATGTAACTTATAAAATTACTTCCCTTGTTTTGATATAAAAACAAAATTTTGATGAAAAACAAAAACGGAGCATTTACTAAAGAAGAAGAAGGGTATGTTAGGGGATGGTAACTGTTTTTGAAGAAAAAGAAAAAACATACCTGGAGTGAAGGAGACATCGTCTCTATGTGATTTTTATAGATGCTTGAACAATTGTTTGACACGCAGAGACACAAACAGGAGATATTGAGAGAGATGTGAGTTTTATATTTGGGAGTGGGCCTCTTCTAGCAAAACAATATCGTTTTACGAGAAATAAGGTTTAAAAAAATTAAGGCAAATGGTACGATTCCTTCAATTTGAAGATTCTTGCGGTTTGATCCTTGGCTAAAAACGATTCTATAGTAAAATACGAATCGAATGGAGACTAAATCGGATCGAATTGAATCGTGAATCATATGATTTTGATAACAATCGTGTGAAATTGATCTTTATAAGATTAACAATTCAAACCAAGATTATCATATGTAATCTAGAAAATAGCTAGAGCCACAAACCAAAATATAGAACCAATTAATATATTCAGTAGAATCAAAATCATCAATACTTTTGTTAAATGATCATCAAAATAGTAAAAACAATGGAATTAAAAAAAAATGAACCCGATAGTACCCAATCCACCCACCCCCATTAAACAACACATTTGTACTGCCACCAAATTACAGTTCATACTCCAAAATCCTATTTACCTTTGGATTAACCCAAATTCGCATCAACTATTGAACATGATGCACCTTATTGTGATCTGAGCATTTAACATGCTTAATTTCTACTTCAAACTCTGACATCGACATGATCTCAAATTTTAAAAAGTATACTTGCTAACTACAACAATAATGATAATAAAAGTCATTAGAACAAGATGAAGCATCACAATGACAATACCTCATTTTCTGAGAGATATCCATCAGGTACAAAGAAGCCATCTTCACTTTCATCTTCTTCATCAACTTTTGAAAACCCTTCCTCCAAGCTTTCCTCTTCATTATCTTTATCACAATCCGATAGGCTTTCACCAGGTTCCTCCTATGATAGGAAAATGTTAGGTCCAAATGCCCTTTAATATTTTGCAAAGAATATTGCTATAACAAACATAGACATACCTCTTCCCATTCTTCATCACTATCAATTTCATAATCCAAGTCTGGATCCTTCAGAAATGGGTGGCGTGGTCCAACAACATGACTGAAAAGAGAAAAACATATGCAATCAACACCATAACACGAGCAAATCCTAGTTTAGTCAAAAGCCTAATTCATATTTTATTTTGGTAAAGCTATACGATATCATTCAGCATCAATCAATCAATGTCTGACACTACAAAGGAAGCTGGACAAACAATTGTAAAATAAGAATTCAAGTGCATCATTTTCAGTGTACACTCAAAATATCATACACACCAAAAAAAATATTTGGAGGCCTTTTCCAACTTACAACTACAAAAATCAATGCCTATGAGTTACTTATGCTTACTAGGTTAGGTTCACTATTCATGTTAGAGTTCTTATTTTATGTATTAAGTCATAAGTCTATTAGTGTAGAGTAATATTAGAATTACCTAAAATATTGCTCCGTTATAAATAAGATGGTGTACAACAACATTGCTCATACAAAACTGATTCTTTATTTTCTGCCTCTTCTTCTCTTTTTTATGTATTTCTCTAACCCTAATATCAATTTATTACTTTCAATTTGATATCAGAGCATCTATACGTCATCAATTTCTGATAGTTAGGACCTACCTCCAATAACGATTTTTTTTAGGAGTATTATGGTGATTTTTTTGTATTTTTTTGAAGCCATTTGAGTAGATTTTCTATTTTTTAATAATTTTCGAGAAAATAGAGTCAGTTTTCAGACCTACTATTCTTGGACCAGTTTTGGCTGATTTGATGCTTCAATCTGAACCTGTGGGTGCCGATTAGCCCACAGGAGGAGTTTCCCGAAGTTCCCAGGCTTCTCGGGCTGGATTTGGACATAATTTCCTTCCCCTAGGTTGCTGACACCACTATCTCAGCCTGTTGGAGTGATGATCTGGTACCGACTGGTGTTCTTTGGCTCCTGTGTTATTCTAAGGTTTGAATGTGTGATTTCTGATGCTGGGTTGCTACAGTGTGTTGTCCTTTATGGTTGGTTGGCGACTGGTCAATGTTTTAAGCCTCTGTTGTGCTGTGTGTTTTTGCGTTGCTACTGTGTGTTCCTGTGTTGCTGCTGTGTGTTGTGTTGTTTGATTTGTTGGCACTAGTTCGTATTTTTTGGTTCATTGGCGACATTGGGCAAATCTTTCGGTGTTATTGGTTTTCGATGTTGTTGGTTTTCAATGTTGTTAGTCTTCGGTGTTGGTAAGGACTATTGGTTTGATTATTATCACCTAGTTATTTGATATTTGTAATTATGGCAACTTCAGATGATGTCAAAGATACTTCTGTTGATAATCAAGCTCAACAAGTTCACTCTCTGGAGAATTGAATGGTCACAATTATTATTCTTGAGGTCACGCTGTATAGATTTTCTTATGGGCTAAGAGGAAAGTTAAATATTTGGCTGACAATCCTCCTAAGGATGGGTCCAACGGTTCTAATGGCCGATGGAGTGAAAATTCTTTGGTGATGACCTTGTTGTGGCTGAGTATAGAACCATTTATGGCCTCTAATGTTCAACTTCTTGATACAACTAAGATATGGGACTCCCTTGAGGAGATACACTTCCAAGAACATAACGTATTTAGAATCTATGAACTCTTTGAGCGTCTATTTAATACCACGCAAAGAAATAAATCCCTACCTGATCATTATGGCATCTTGAAAGGATTATAAGAAAAACTTATGTTGTAATTGCAGAACTGGAGGTTCAACGTCGACAACAGGAGGAGTTTTAGGTTGCATTGCTTTTGTCAATCTAAGTATAGTGTTTTTAAAGATTAGATTTTGGCTATTGAAAAGCTTCCTACTGCTGCCGGTGTTTATTCTCGCCTTCAACAAGCTCCTCTTACTCGTGGGCCTCCTTCATCTTCGCAAGATTTCTCTGTCTTAATTTCTAGTGATGGCAATCATGGTGTATCACCAGCAGGACGTAATTGTGGTCACTATCCAACCCAACGTGGTTAACCGTGGTGGTAGAGGTTTTGATTGTGGTGGTTAAGGTGGTCGTAGTAGTTGAGGTCGCTCCTAGTGGAAATATTCGTAATATGGGACTACTAGACATACAAAGGATTATTGGTGGGATAAGCATAGGAGGCCAACCTATGGCACTTAGCCCTCTATTGATTTGGATCCACCTGTGTCTCAGCCATCGACCTCTATTTCTACTAGATCTCCATGTGGCTTTAATGATGCCCTTCTCAACTCAGTCAACTTATCCATCGGTTATCGTCATTTTCTCCTCATTTGTCTACTTCCACAGCTGGTTTAGCTAATGCAGATAATTCTACACATATGGCAGCTCCATCTGCCTCCTTATCTTGAATTGTTGATTCAGGAGCTAGTAACCACATATCTAGTATTTCTTCTTTATTTTCTAATTTTTGTTCCTCTAACTCTCATATTGTGTTACCTGATGGTTCTTTTAGACCAGTTTATGGAACTGGTGATCATTATCCTACCAACTCTATGACATTAACATTTGGTTTATTTGTCCCTCAGTTGCCCTTTAACCTGATATATGTGGGTAGGTTAACAAAGTCTTTACGGTGTTCAATGACTTTTTCTCCATCTTCTTATGTTTTTCAAGACCTATAGACGAAGAAGGTAATTGGTTTAGGGGAATAAGCAGAATGGACTTTATTTTTTGGATTCTAGAGCAACAATACCTACCTTGAGTGCTACCGTATCTCCCCAACAATGGCATTTTCATTGGGTAATCCGTCACTGCAAAAGCTTTGTCAAGTATTTCCTAGTTTGAGTTTGTCAATTAGGCAAGCATCACCGTAGTTCTTTTCCTTTTAGTAACACGAGTCTTCAATTGAGTCCATTTGTTATTGTTCATTCTGACATTTAGGATCCTTCAAGAATAAAAAATATTTTTAAATTTTATTATTTTGTGATCTTTGTTGATGATTACTCCCGTGTGACTTGATTGTTTCTTATGAAGGATCAGTCTGAGTTACCTAAAATTTTTCTTACTTTTTATAATGAAATTCTTGTATAGTTTGATAAATGTATTAAGATATTTCATTCTAATAATGCTCTTGAATATGTACAATCATTTATGCGTACATTTTGTGCCGATCATGATATCATTCATCAAACTACATGTCCACATACATCCCAATAAAATGATGTCGCAAAACGCAAACATCATCATATATTGGATGTTGCTCGTACTTTTATGTTGTTTCGTAAGCAAACTTTCAGTTGTTGTTGGATTTACATTGCAAAATATCATCCTAATAGGTTTGTTGAGCGTTTGAAGGCACAGTTGGTTGCCAAGGGCTACACCTAAACATATAATGTTGATTATTATGAGACTTTCTCTCGTATTGCTCATCTTAACTCTGTTAGAGTTCTTTATTTCTGTTGCGATCTATTGTATATGTTGGTTTTCAATGGTATCTATTTGTGCCAACAAAAGTACATACTTGACTTACTAACTGAAACTGACATTCTTGGTGCTTGGCCGATTGATACGCCTATGAATTCTACACTTACGTTAAATTCTCAAAGTGACGAAGTGTTTATTGATATAGAGCATTATTAGAGGCTGGTTGAAAAGTTGATTTATTTCATAGTTACAAGCCCTGATATTACATATGTTGTTGATGTGGTTATTCAGTTCATGCATGCTCCTCGTAAGCCTCATTAGGAGACTTTCTGCCACACTTCGATACCTAAACAGACCTCCAAGGAAAGAATTATTATTTCATCCATCATTACCCATAACTGTTGTTTGGTTTATGATGTTGACAAGGCAGGTAGTCATGGTGATAAACGAACGACATCTGGCTATTCTATGTTTGTTGGAACTAATATTATTACCCAGCGTAGTAAGAAGAAGAATGTGGTTGCGCATTCTAGTGCATAGGCTAAATATTGTACTATGGCTCATTCTGCTTGTTAGATGTTATAGGTTCGTTATTTGCTCTGGGATATGGAACTTGATGTGCCTTCTCCTATGAGGATGCATTGTGAAAATCAAGTAACGATTCTAATTACAAGTAATCCGATATTTCATGAGCATACCAAACACATTGAGGTGGATTGTCATTTCATCCAAGATTTATTGATGAAAAAGGAGATCATCACTTCATATATTAAATCTGGTGATCAACTAAGTGACATTCTTACTAAGTTATTGCTCGATCAACCTTTAGTAGTTTATGTTTCAAGTTGGACATTTTTTTTCTTTATGCTCCAACTTGAGGGAGAGTGTTAGAGTTTTTATTTTATGTATTAAGTCATAAGTCTATTAGTGTAGGGTAATATTAAAATTACCCAAAATATTGCTCAGTTATAAATAAGATGATGTAGGGCAACATAACTCACACAAAGGGTTACTTGAAAATGTTAGATGACCTACGAACTGCGATCTGGGTCACACAACCCCAAACGTGGGTCGTCCACGACCTGGATCACTACTATCTCCGACCCCAACTGTTTATCCAATCAATTAACAAAACCCAGATTCCCGATATAAACCCTAACCCTATATCAAACCAAATCATTTTAAATTACACAGATTAAGTAATAATAGGCTAAAGCGTTTAAATTACACAGATTAAGTAATAATAGGCTAAAGCGTTTAAATTACACAGATTAAGTAATAATAGGCTAAAGCAGTGTTTTGAAAAACTCGCCTAGGCGAGAAGCGAGGCGAGGTGAGCTTATCTCGCCTGGAGAACCTCAGGCGAAGCGAACGTGAGCGAAGTAAGAAAAAAGCGAGAAAAAGCGAAAAAGTGAAGAAGCGAAAAAACAAAAAAGCAAACGCTTTATTATAAGAGGCGATTCTGCTCCCCTTTTTTTTTTTTTCCTGATCACAGGTTTGTAGTCTCTTTCATTTTTTAATCACTGATGACTTTTTTTTTAGACTATCGCTGGTCTATTTTTTTTTTTTTTTTTTTGATAAGCAATGTTCCGAACAAAACATATTCCTTTTTTTTCCTTGTGTTGTTGAATTCATTTAAAATATTTGTGGAATGTGAGAGTCAGGCGACTACATGGCAAAATTATGATAAAGAAAGGAAACAGGAGTATCAGAAATGAGGGTAAATAATAGTCTTCTACAAATAAGTGTCTCTGATATGTCTTGGTTATACTTTTCCCTTTTTTTATATATATACAAATGGTACCAAAAAGTGGTTTATACTTGTACCATGTTTAATTATTTTAGTACATGTGAAATGTGCCTCTGTTCTGCTTTTTTTATTCAGTACATAATTACATATGAAATTGTTTACAATTAATTCTGCTCTTGTCATGATCATTGTGCTTCTGTTTTTTTTTTAGTTCATTCTGCTTCTATTTTTTTTTTGTTGATTTTGTTGCTGCTTCGGTTTTTCTGTCCTGTATTCCTTCTGTTTATTTTTTATCCTCATTCGGCTTTTTTTTTTTTGTTGCTAATTCTGCTGCTGTCCTGATCCTGCTTCTTTTGTTATCCTACCATGTCAATATGAATATGTATACAATTATTAGCATTTTTTTAAATTTAAATGTTTAACTTATAACTGTTATTAAGATTTGATATATTATTAGTGTTTGTTTTAATTTAAATATTTTTTGTTTTACTTGCATTTAAATATTTAGAATATATAAAATTAGAACTTAGATTGTTTAGAAGTAATTAAACTAAAATATATTTTTTTTAACTGTTCGCTTTGCTTCTCGCTTAGGCGTTAGGAGCCTTGGTCGCTTCGCTTCGCTTTACGCCTTAAATAACACTGGGCTAAAGTAAAGAGTAGGTAACTTACTCGATGGATCTCTGCTTCAACTTCTTCGACTTCTATGGTTCGATTTCTCTGCTTCGATTTCTTTGCTTCAATTCGGCTTCTTCGCGATGAACCGACTTCTCTAGTTCATTGCCCTCTCTGTTTCTCTCTCTAGCTCTCTCTCTCTGTTTCTCTCTCTAGCTCTCTCTCTCTGTTTGCTTCGAATTCTTCGTCAACGTTCTCGTTCTCTCTCTCTTAATGGCCACCGAATCATGTGATTGAAGTTGTCTAGGAGTGGGACTTGGGAATTAGTTACCTGACTCTTAGTTAATATCTAGGTGGTGTGAAATAACCATAAAACCCCACTTATTTTATAAGAATAGAGAATATAATTTGGATAAAAAAGTAAAAATTATGTTAGAAAACTTACACATACGCGTTAAATGCAGCCCCATATATATATTTTTTAATCCCAATTATAGTTTAATCCCAACTGCAGCCTTTGTAGTCTGTACCGACAACTACTGCCTCCCTCTTCCTCCTAAATTATTCCTTCAATATCTATACTGTGTTGAATACTTGAATGCTTAAAAAATGATTTTTGGAAAAAGGAGGAAAGAACAAGAGTCTTCTCAAATTGAAGAACCATTCGAAATTAATATTCAGAATTTGGATGATTCTGCTGACGAACAAGAAGTTGAACATATTGAAGTAGCGGATGAAGATAACCCTAGGCAACCACAAAAAAATCGTACACTGGAAGATCAATTACAAGTTGATGCAAAATTGAAACCACTACTCAATGAAGTCAATCTTATTGGTGCAACTCAAGGAAAAAATCCAGTTGTATCAAAGAGTTGGTCATGTAAGCATTGAGGTGGTAAATTTACAAGTTCGTATACTCGAATACATTACCACTTTTTTGGTGCCCCACCCAAAAAAAAAGCAAAAATTAAACGGTGTCAAGCTTTGATGAATAATTTGACTGAATATGCAAAATTACGATAAAGAGTACAAAAGGCAGAAAAAATAGGAGTTTCTTCATCCCTGAAAAATTCTACATTGATGAAGCGATAACCTTCACCGACAACGGGATCAATTGAAGATGCATTCAAAATAATGGATCAAGACACGGTTGACTTGAAGGTCATGAGGGAATTATGTGCTAATGGAATCTCATTCAATGTGTTGAGAAATTCTCAATTCAATTAAGACAATTTCAGCTATAAATAGAGGACCTAAAGGTTACAAGGCTCCTAACTATGAAAAAGCAAGAACTACATTATTGAATGAGTGCAAAAGAAGTGTTGAAAAAGGTTTGATTCTCGTTAAAGATACATAGTATTCTAATGGGGTATCCATTGTATCAGATGGGTGGACTAATGTGAAGCATCAACCACTTATTACTATCATTGCTGCAAATAGTTGTGGAATTATGTTTTTATATGCTTAGGATTTTTCAGGAATAGAAAAAATAGGGAAAGCAATTGCTGATTTTTGTTGAAAGCTATTGAAGAAGTAGGTACACTAAATGTCATTCAAGTAGTGACTGATAACGCAGCAAATTGCAAACTTACAGAGAAAAAGGTGCAAAAGGTACACAAACATATATTTTGATCTCTTTATGTTGTTCATACTTTGAATCTAATTTTCAAATACTTTACAAAGGAATTTGAGTGGTTTAGAAATATTTATAGAAGGGAAAAATCTATTGTTAAATATTTTTTGAATCATACACATGTTTTGGCTATGTTTAGGGCTCAGTCTAAATTGGAGCTATTAAAAGTGGCTAAGACCAGGTTTACATCGCATTATATTTTGTTGAAGCAACTTGTTGACTATAGAGAGTCCCTTGTAACTACCATTGTTCTCGAGTCATGAAAAAAATTGATGAAATCTAGGGATGAACAGACAAGAAAGTTAGGTGCTTTGCTTACAGAAACCGTTATTAGTGAAGAATTTTGGGAGGATATAGAGAATATCATAAGTATCACAAAACCTATATTTTTTCTTATTAAATTTTGTGATGGGGAAGGTCAAAAAAATGGGTGAGATTTATGAAAAGATGAACAACATACTTGGTGAAATAAAAGATATTATGAAGGGTGAAAAACACGTTAATAAATTTTTCCAGATTGAAAAAATTGTGCTTGACAGATAGGAGTAGATAAATATTCCTTTGCATTGTCTTGGGTTTGCACTAACACCACAATTTTATGATACTCAATATCTTACTAAGCTAACACTAGAAGGTTAGAAAAACTTCAAATCAAGATAAAGAGGTCATCATAGATGTTATGGAAGCTTTTGAAAAGATAGCAGAAGATGTAGAAGAAGCAAAATAATTACTAGAACAATATGCACATTTTCACTCGCGAAAAGGTCTTTATGCTATGGCGACAGCTCAAACAAATGTTGTGACCATGGATGCTATTGATTGGTGGTCGACATATGGTTCAAAAATTCCATAATTAGCAAAAGTGGCAAAAAAGGTACTAATTTAATTTACAAGTTATTTATTTTTATTGTTAATTATCATTATTGTGTCTTATTAATTTTTTCATAAAAGGTGTTATCACAACCAATTACAAGTTCTTTAGCCGAAAAAAATTGGAGCACGTATTCATTTATTTACAATGTTAAGAGAAACAAATTGAATTCTACCAAAGCTGACAAATTGGTTTTCATCCATTTAAATATTTGTTTTCAATCACGTTTCAGTGAAAGCAACAAAGATTGTCCTTTTAAGAAATGGGATATAAATCTAAAGCACACATATATAGATGATTCTAGTATGAGATTGGAGGATTTGCAATGAAAATCCTTGGAGGATGACAATACAGATAGTTCTACCATTGCTGGAGACGAAGATCAAGAAACTTCATCCTTGCATGCTTTTATGCCCGTCTCTATTGACAAGTCACCTACTAGTTCTAGCAGGACACTGATCTGTCATTCCGGACTGCATCAGACTCAAATTACTAACTTTGAGAGAGGAGGGAACACGACGAAAGATAAAGGGAAAAGAGTTGACAAATAACTCATGTGCTCCAATTTTTTCTTATTATTAAGTAATTTTTATTTAAAACTTATTAGATGTTTAAGAGAATTATTTTGATTTGAGCTTCAAGTAGGAAGCTATTTAATCGTTCTATAGTATGTTATTTTTTAAATTTTAAGTCTTTAAATTTATATACTGTCTTTCTTTGATAGTATTATACATGATTATCAGTTGATGTGTTGTTGCTTTTAATTTGCATTTTATAATGTATATATTTATATAATTTTTTGTAATAATGAAAACGATCCGAATAACAGTTTAAAGCAAATTGCGACCCAAAATAGAGTACCAACTAAGCCTACCCCTACCACACCTCGCACCGAAAAAAGTAACATACCCCGCACCAGTACCCGTATCACGTACCCAACCGACCCACGATCCAGGTAACCCGATACACAACTGATTCTTTATTCTCTGCCTCTTCTTTTATTTTCTCTGTATTTCTCTAACCCTACTATCAATTTATTCTTTTCAACTATTCAATATATAAACGGTGCAAGTTAAGCATGAATGTTAACAAGGATCCATTTGAAGAGTTCGCAATAAAATAATTAAATGTCTTAGTCAATAGTTTCATGTATATTGATCATAATTATTTGGAAGAATAATAGGAGCTCAAAAAATGATCCTATCTAAAACCAATAAGCCATGCTGATTGTCAACCTTAAAAAATATCCTTAGGAGTTAACTAGTTGTAGGTTTCAACTGAAAATGTGCCGCCTGCCAGATGAAGATGTCAATGCAGCCAAACAACTCAAAGCAAGAATTCAGTATGACTTCTTGTATTGCTATGCCACGTGTTGCTAGTAAGGCAACTCCTATTACTTTTATATTTTTGACTTTACAACCAATCAAGGATAGCTAAATATGCAATCAAAAAGTAGTAACCAGCCAACTAGTATCCGTAAAATGACTTAATCTATAAACAGGAACTTACGTTTTATTGGGCCAGATACCATAAAATGCAGGTCTATAACTTTTGTCAAACTGCAACAATTGTTTGCTCCTATTGCGCTTCTGACCACCAGGGAGAGAATTTCCAATGTTTGTATGACATATGGGATCAACGTTTGTTTCACCCCACTCATCATCAACAAACTTCTGAATGCTGAACTGATCATCACAACCCAGTCCTCTATTTGTAGTGAGCTTAATTTCCTTGATTACTTCTGCCTTAGGCTTCCGACGAATGCCCCAATGTTGTTTACTGTTTGCACGCAAAGAATGACCCATTTGGTGCCAAGAACTTAAGTGCAACCTGCAAAGTTTAACAAAAATAGTCGATATTGATTCCAAAAAGCAAGATTGACACCAAAAAAGATAAAAATAAAAATAAAAACAAAATGAAACTTACTTCCATATATTCTCAGTGTAAATCTCATCTTTTAGTGAGAGCACACAGTCCATTGAAAGAGTAACTGATTCGGGCAACTTCTCAATCCCGTTAGGAGATGAATCAGATTTCGTTTCTTTCTTTGAAGGCTGATCATTCTGGGAAGTTAAGTCATTTTTGCTTCTTTGAAGAAAGCGCTCCATGAGCGATGCTTGCTTTTGCAAAGCAAGTTGTTTTTTTAATTCAGCTTCTTCCTTTTCCCGCCGTCTTTGATCTTTTTCTGCTTCCTCTAGCTGCTTTCTTATCTGTTTCCTCATTTGAGATTCTTCTTTCTCACAGCGTCTTTCCTGTTTCTCTGCCTCCTCTTGTAACTGCTTTACCTCTTTTTCCTGCAATGACATAAAAATTCAGAAAGGAAATGACAAGTGTTAATCAATCAGCATATATGCTATTCTATTTCACAAATTCATTAATGATATCTGCTGCAACGGCAGAAAACACTCGGAATATGAAAATTAGGACTTACGCTATGCAATTTTTGTTTCTGAAGTTCCCGATCCATTCTTTTCTTCTCCTTCTCAACCTCACGTTTGTTCCTCTCCAATTGCTTGATTAATAGTTTCTCTTCTCGTTTTGCTTCCTTCTCCGCTCTTCAACCATGAAAAAATTTTAAGTTTTGCAGAAAACGAGCATCAAAGAAACAAATTATAACCGACGAGGCTGAAGATACGTACATGTTAGAACCATTTTTATGTGCCATGCTGTCGACTAACAAACGAATATCTGCCTCACTTAACACTTTTCCAAATCTTTCTGATGCTTTCATCAGCTCTTGTCTGCCTTTCTGAAGGCCGTCTGATTTCTGAAGCGCAGTCATCATTGCTGAAAAAAACCCACAAACATCAGCAACTCATTCTGTAAGCATACATCACACTGACCTACAAACACTATATCCCGTTAGTATTGTGACTGACAATGTGATATCTGCACATCTTAGTTGTGCAGTACAGAGTCATTGAAGAAGGCACATAATAGAGGATAATCAAGAGGCATTACACATTTTTCCTTGCCCTTATCCAACTATGAGAATGAAGAGAGCCCATGAACATTACACAAACAACTAAGCCAAAAATATAAAAGACACTGTGAGATGATGTAAGGTGACCGAATAAAAACTAAGACAGTAAAAGTTATTTGCGTCCTTTTATGGCCAGAGGGCAGGACCAATATGGATTAGACCAGCTCACAAATTCTTTTCCCCTTTTGTCCTTTTCCCATTCTCCTGTTCTTTGCATAATTTTTTCTCTTCTTCTCTGTCTTTTTCTTTGGGGTGGAGGGGTTTAGTTAGAAGAATTAAAGGCAAACATGATCTGATTGAATGAGAACGAAATTGAACATTGAATTTGTCCACATATGATTAGTATCGAAAAATACATGCAATGCATAAGAGCAATGACAAAACAGAACATAGAAACAGCTTTTTTCAGTTGCAAGTTGCAGAAAAAGCTGCAACTCAAGGTTTTCAAATTTAGCTCTTCTTTTAGTTGTAACATGTTTTATGGAATATGAAGCAGTTGAGATATAACTTAAACACATTCGACTCTTTTGGGAACTAAACGAAACTCAGTTGCAAAGTAATTAAAAATCCAAACCATACTTTACACAAATTACATCTGCAAGATACTTCAAAAACGAATGTGACTGCAGTACTCATGGTTTCATAGCTTGCAACAAGTAAACCTGTGATGTTATTAGAAATTTCCATTTCATTCATTGAACTGGCCATGTTCATCTGTTATGAGTAGCATACGAGACAACAGATCACAATCTGATGTCTCTTTGCTATCCATTAGTTCATTTCTTCTCGCCCTGATGGTCATTAGAAGCTCTTCGAGAACCATTGTTCCCCCTTTGATAGCACGATTATAGGCCGTGCCGGGTAAGTCTATAGGTACGGAGAACATCCTGGACATAACAAGAGTAAAGGGATCTGCCAATCTTTTCACATGGTCAGGATCTTCCAGACAAACAATTTGCAGGCTAGTGCAAAAAGTGTACTTCTTTGACAAAGGGAAAACCTTAACTTACTGTGAAATTTTGACAACCTAAAACTCTATTTTTGCCATGCAATGCTTCAATGTAACAGCACATGTGGCATCCCTCCTCTACCATATAAATGAATCCTCAAAGCAACTTAAATTGGAGAGAACAAACTAAGCGGCAGTATGATTCATCTAGTGTACCGTACTGTTAGCCAGGAAAGTTAGTGCCCTTAGATTTCTTAGCAAATATGTTCCAACTAATGTATAGGCAGTATATATCCCCAAACCAATCAGCAGTTTAATTTAAGTACCAGCATCCATTCAAACGCTTAACTGACAGATTTAGGGCCATGAAGATTTTAAATAAATAAAAGCCTGCTGTTACATAGGCAGAAAGTTGCCTACACAGATTCAGCATTTCTTTTGGAAAAAAAACCAGAGTTTCCACAAGATAATGAGCGGAATTGCTGGAGTCAGATAGGCTAACCCCCTCCACAGCCTATTTGTGAAGTCAGGTCTCCTCTACTTGAACAATAACCAAATCAGAAACCCGAAAAACAACTTCTTCCAAACATCCTCAAAATTCCAATAACCAAATGTCCCATCATGATTGTCAGCTGCCCAGGAGCAGAGCCACCATTAGAGGTGTGGGGCCCCCAGTCGCCCCCACTGATTTTTGGAGCACCTCTACATATGTAATGCTAATGACCATATAATTTATTCACTCTATAATACATTTGCACTCTCAAATTTTTGAAAACTTTTATAGTGGTCCTATTATTTTTATTTTCAATAACTCAGTGGCCCACCGCTCAAAAAACAAATGTTTTATTATTCGATTAAGTAAAATATATGCAAATTACCTAACACTATATTAAGTATTATATTAAGTACACAAGGATGATACATCTCTTCTATCTAATGAACTACCCCTATTTTTTTAAGTAATTGCATAGCATTTCTTGACCATTCTTTGATAAGTTGGTAGCATGTAACCAAGTAATAAACGATGAGATGAAAAAGATAAAACAACCAAACCCAAAGGCTTTTTCTACTATACACTTCTCGCCATGGTGGAGGACGATCTCAATAGAACTTCACAAAAAAATGAAGAATTTTTTGTCAAGGACCATACAATTCGTGATCACTAAAAAATTTAACTTAGAATTATTCAATTATGAATGAGCATTGTGTTTTCGAACTGAAGGAAGGTCAATTCAATTTTATTTTATGATCGAGTTGAAATACACTAAGAAATAATTATTTTATGTTTTGCCCCTCAAAGACGGAATCTTGGCTGCGCCCCTGCAACTGTGTGTTCTCTTACACATAAATACACACAATCGACTGGGCCATGAATTTAACTTTTTATACCATTTATCTCCTATTTTCTTTCTTTCATCAACGCCCCTTCCAGTGCTAGAATATATGGTTTGTAAGAACGCCTAGCATCTTCTATTTCAGAAAGGATAGAGCTCACATGATGGTTTCAAATATTTATGATCAAGCGTAATTTTCTAGATGAAAATCTTTAGAGATCTAACTGTTTCATAGGGATGTAACACATCTGATATATTTTCCTGTTTTATGTGCTGGTGGACTAGTTGTCCACTTTTATATAATTTTCTAGAATTAATGGAAGTTTTGTTTCCTATACACAAAACATCTAGTTAATCCAATGAACCATGACACTTCATGCGCTCATTTTTCAATATTACTAATCAGACATGATAACAAATTAATATGGAAATAAAAATCAAAGAAAAATAAGATAGTTCACCTCATAACTATCAAAATCATCGATTAAGGGAATCAAACTAGAATAAGCAGTGTTATCAGAACCAGACCAGACCGGCCGGTCAAACCAGTTGAACCTTGAACCAGGGCCTAGACCGGTCCGGTCCTTGAGTTGGACTGCTTAGGCAATTAAACCGTCTGTTAACCGTTCAACCGGCCGATTTTTCCTTAAACCCGTGAACTGGACGAGTTCTTCAAACCGGGCGATTCAAATTTTAAGGAATAAAAAAAATTAAAATCAATTTTTTAGGGCAATTTTTCCCTAAATCGACTCCAATCGAACCTTCTTGTGCAATTCTTCACCTTCTCCATACGCAAAGGCTCTCTTTGACGTCGAGTCTTCACCAGACGCACATAGTGGTAAAAGCAATCTTCTCCGAAGCTTAGCAGCAATCTTCTCCGAAGCTTAGCAGCAATCTTCTCCGAAGCTTAGCAGCAATCCACCTCCCTCTATCCTTCTATGACTGCAACTCTTCTTATTCTTCTCTCTCTCCTCTCCTTTATCTTAGTCTTTGTGTCAGTTTTTACCTCTTTCTCTTTCTCTTTCTCACATGCACACACAACACAACACAAACTCTTGAGTCTTGACTAAACACACACACTTAATAGAGTAAAGACTACAAAGACGGAGGGAGACTTAAACACAGACATTAAAAAATATTATAATTGCCTCGAGGAGGCCACTACCTTGAGAAGCCAAAAGGGTGGTTCGTTATTTTTTTTTATAGAATTATGCATAGCTGTCAAATCGTGTATCGGAAGGCATATCGTTTTTTAAAAACAGTGTATCGTATCGTATCGTGTATCGTATATCGTAAGATAAGCACAATTTTAATTTTTAAATAATTATTAATAAAATAAATGTATATACCTTTATTAAAAAGTCATAGACTCATAATAACATAATATTTCATTAATATTCCACCAACTATTCAAGTTTCCAACATACTTCAGTAATATTAAAATGTAAAAACCTCTAATTCAAACTTCTAACATCAACTGCTTGAACAATTTTAATATTAATCAGGAATTTTAAATTCAATTGAACAACATTAATATTAGACTTCATTTATTTTTTTTAAACTATAACAACTGAAACGACGTTTCACTAGCTAGTGATTTAAAAATAAGTTACAAGGTAAAACGATGTCATTTCAACAAAAAAAAAAAAACAGAATCGTCACGTATCGTACGTATCGGACGTATCGTATCGTATTGTGTATCGTATGATAAGTTGTAAAAACGATACAGAGACACGATACGTATCATTTTTCAGGTGTATCGTGACGTATCGTACGATACGTATCGCGTATCGTATGATACTAATAACTATGAAATTATGTTTCTATGCTATTAATTTTATGATAAATTGTACACATTGTAGACATGTTTTATATATTTTTTTAATTAAATCATTATGCTTTATATATATATATATATATATACATATTTTATTTTTTATTATATAACCGGTTCGACCAGTTAAAACCAACGGTTGAACCAGTGAACCATTGATCCGGTCCCCTGCCAGTTCGATGACCGATCCGGTTCTGATAGCATTGAGAATAAGTACTAAGTACTCTATGGATGGTTATATACGTCTCACATATATTGCACGGGAGAATTTACCTGCACGTACTATATATAAAAAGCAGGACCCATTGACACAAGAAGTTGTCTTCACCGGCATCTCTCTCATTAAGGCAAGTATGTTTATTCGTTTTGTTTTGAATGCATTTTCCCATATTTTTTTTAATTAGACGTTTTTCTGTGTTAGAATCCACTGTTCAAACCAGGAGAAATTGTTTACAGCCAGCCTGGTGATCATAGATACTTATGTTGGGGTTGGTTTGAGAGTTCATCCTCTCCTTTACTGTTTATTCCTCCCAAAGTTCATAATAATGGGAATTCAACCACAAGCTCGGCCAAAAAGTGAACAAGCCAAGTCTAAACAGCACTAGTCAAGCTAGTCAGCATTCTACATGCAGTCCAAGCATCACGCAAAAATAGATGAACTGAGCTGGAACAACCCACGACTCACCTCAGCTCAGTTAATTTGCTGTACTAGAATTAAATCTTGCTAATGCTGCATTTCTAATTCTGTCTCACCAAGCCAAACCTCGATCTTGCTGTCAGAATGGCAATGAAGGTGATCTTTAGGGAATAAAAACACAATAAGCGCTTGCTACATGCTTTCCAAGGCAAACATTTATGAACATAAAATAAAGTAAGCAATTAAGTGACAATCCAGGGAAGAGAAAACCCGTATTACCCGAAATGGCAGTAATCCTCTCATGGATCTTTTTCCGACAAATTCTCCGAATTTTTAGCATACCACGCATAGATTTCGGCATCAATTTTATATCTCTTGTCTACAAAGTTAAACAAAAGTTTTGAAAATGAGATCAGGTTGGCTGATAACCACACAAGAATGAAGAAAGCAAAAGCCAAATTTACCCAGTGATAGCTCTGAGAAAAAGTACAAACACTAAACATACTCAACAAAAGCATCCGATTGATACTGGCAACAGAAAAACGAATAATAGACATGCTGACAAGGAAACCATGATGAACTATTCATGGCAAGCCCAGAAAGCCCAAAAGAAGCATGTAATATAACCAACAACAAATTTGGTTTGAATCCATCAAAGATGGAATGCAAGTAATAACATGGCTCTATTAGGCAACTAAGAAAACTACATAAGCAAAATCAAATTGATATATTCCCATGCAATCATATCTGAGAAAAGAATTGAATTGATATACAGAAACAACAAAACTACATATACCCAATTAGAAAATATAAATTGAGCAATTATCTGACACCCAATAGATTTGGCGCAGTCCATGAAATCCATAGTACATAATGACCACAAAGACTAGGCATATATGTTTAATAAAATAAGAAAAACTAAAAAACACAAAGATTGCATATTCTCTTTAGTATGCATTTGCATAAGAATAAAATATGAAGTTGAAAAAATTAAAAATACAGAATTCAAGTATTTATCACCTCCCAACACCAAAGGCATGACTCAGTGTCGTCCTCCAACACATCAGCATCTGCATTGGGCATTCCGTAAAATGATCTTTGCCCTATCAAAAGCACATAGCTCTTCACAGAAGCAAGAGTAAAGCTCACATTTCCACCAATACCACCACCATTTCCCTCTCTCTCCTTCAATTTCCCATATATCGCATCCACCAACTTAGAAAGTGGAAGAGTACTCTCTTCTAACAAATAGGCAATCACCGAATTGATCGAAGAAGAACCACCACACTGACTCAAACCTTCTGAACCCACTTCCTGTTCCAAAACCTCTTTGTAGTATTTGAACAACCCATTCAGCTCATCGCGCAACCCGTTGATTCGAGCATCTCTCTCTTCCGTACTCAGTGAGTCGACCTGTAAAACTCTCTTCCTTTTCAACGATTTCTTGGCTATAACTCTGTCGTTTGCTTCCACGTCAACGATCACTGGATCCGCCATTGAAACCCTTGCTCTGCATGCAATCTCTGAAATCCAAGGAAACACCGAAGACTCTTTTAATAAAAATCTAGGGTTTCCCAAGAAAATTTCTGATGTTTCTCGGATTTTCCAGAGAAAAATCAACCCACTCTCGTAAATTTGGCTGAGAAAATTGGACCCACAAATGCTGTTTCTGTTTTTTTCCCTAGATGATCAGAAATATGTGACGAAATGAAATAAGATTTTCCGAAGAAGCAAAACCCAGAGGTTTCCTGACTTTCCCTAGAAAATCAGCCCACAAAGTTTTGTTTTTCCTTCTGAGATCAGATTGAGTGAAATGAGAAAAGAAAATTAATGGAAACCTGTATGATACCTAAATTATTTTTTTTCTTCCCTTTTCTAAGTAGTCATATGTGCCCGCTTATTTTAATACATAATTTTAACCGACACATATAGTTTAAGCAAAATATCTATGAAATTTTCCCGCCAATCGAAAAAGAAAAGTAGAAAACTGTAGCCCCAAAAGCACAATATCTATGTTTCGCGCTTTCATTAATTTTCGCGCTATAACGCGCGGCATCCTGGCTGGCAGCACACGTGGTAGTCGGTTCTGGATCATGGGCTGACCGGGATTGAACGTGGGTCATGTTTTCCGGCCCGTTAAGAAGTTCCACTCGGGGCGCAAGGTATATAATTAGAAGTTGGATATTAAATTTTTTAATCATCGACTATTTGGTACTCACTTAAATTTAAGTACTTATATGAATCAAAATGCTTGATAACTATAGAGGTAACATTTGAAAATAAATTAGCTTTCACTTTTACTTTCCACTCTTTACTTTAAAATATTTATAAAATATGTATTTATCTAATAAAAAATCATGATATATCACTATAAACAATTCATAATATAAATTATAATCACTATTATCATATTGTAGTCTACAATTAACAAATATAATATTAATTCGAATTAAAGTGATCAATTAAAATTATCAATTGTCATAAATTTTAAAAATTGCAATTAAGATACAAATCAAGAGTTTAATTATCTTACAATTTGCTAACACAAATTGAGCATAAAAATTTGATCAATTTATGCCCTTCCTCCTCCAACTTCCAAGTTAGTTGAACTATGCAATTCTTGATTAAAAGTATTACAAATAGAGGAATAACACAAGACAATTGCCCTTCAAAAGTAGTTGCTCATTGACACTCTTAACAGTAAGTTGAATAAATAAATAAATCATTAGTCCAATACAAAGAAAGAATTGAACTAGACAGGAATTGAACAATAACAAATTCAACAAAAACGCATAAAATAATTGAACAAATCTTATCAAAACAAAAATTGAACAAATAAATTGTTCACCTCAAACGATTATAAATAGTAAAATTAATAAAATGACTTAAATAAATCAATGAAAGTCGCAATTCATCAAACATTGCGTGTGTGTGAAATTAAAGCAATTAACAATAACATGCACAACATAAACAATTTGTTAACGCAAAAAACCTTCACAAGAAAAACCACAGAACCGATATATGTTCACTTAGAACCTAATCTACTAAACTCAAAATCAATTTTTATGTACTCGAGTCTTATACCTTAAACACTTCTATAGTAAATCTCTCCTTCGAATATCACCCACCGAAGTCCTAAACTAGTTTCACTTGGATTTTTCTCATCACAGTGAATTGTCTAGGCCTCTCAAGCAATCTTCAAGACTATACACCCAAGACACTCAGAATTGTAATGCCCCAAAGACAACCCTAGACAACATTACAAACTAAGATCCATTTACATCATGAGAGCAACTAAATAATTCATCCATAAAGAAATTTCATTCATCAAATATATCATTTACAATCTCATTCCCCAAAAGAATATGCCAAAACATGATGAATATATTCCCAAAAGAATATGATCCCAAAATTAATATAATTACATCCCAAAAAAAGTAAACATAAACTCGCAGCGGAATTACAAAAGAGTGTAGACTTCACAATATTTTCAAAGTAAATTTCCTAATCTAGAATAAAAAGTAATGTTGTTCTAAGCGTCCACCTCGGGATCAACATGCCCATCTACAAGAATCTCCCAGTTTTCCCGGTTCCTCAATTCCCAAATCCTCCTCCAGTACATAATCTGAAAAATGTAGTTTGTAGGGGAGTAAGCACTAAGCTCTGTAGCAACATTCTTCCCAAACTCGAATAAGATTTAGAAAAATATAAAAAAAACGGTCGGTCATCTTTCACAAATAGCATATATGGATTTTAAAATAAAACAGGGACATTTAAATAGATCTCCAGTTTAAGCAACAACAGTAATTTAATGCATACGGAAAACCAACATACGACTAATAATCCAATCCACTATAAACCGTTTCTCCCAAGTTCTTGCAAAATCTCATATTTTTCAAAATTCTTGTAGAAACTAGTTATTGTACAATGAACAATAACCCACCACTGTATTCATATCTCTTGTATGAAGTAAGACCTTACATAAATACCATCAAAAATATCATGGCCCATGTACAACCCATACAAATTCTTGCAAGAATATCCAATCTTTAGGAAGGGCGTATGCCAACACCATGGCAGTGACGTATCCAACCAAAGAGTAGTATACTAGCCCCTTTTTCCACGATAACCCCTAAGCGATAATGGTTTAGTCCTCGCAAGGCACTAACCCCATTACGAGTGGTAAAAAAAGTGCGTATCCGCACGGAGTAAGAAGGCGTCTACACACTCCAAGAAACCCAGTCAATAGTAGCTCATGTTTATCCAACAACTACACAAGAGATACAATACCAACAATTTCGTCAAATAACAAACAATTCTATAAATTTCCAATTTCATATATAGTATTTCAATTGAACACTTGAAGAAAATGCAAGAGATCATCATCAATATCATTTAGTACTCAACACAAGGCACTAAAGCTTCAAAGTCAAGAACAAAGGAAGAATCAAGAAGAAAATCCATCTCTTTTGAAAACTAGAGTTTTATATCAAGAAAATGAGATTTTATGGGTATTCAACCCTAACATTGTTTAAAACACACTAATAATTACAAAAAGACCGAGGAACAAAGAATCCATAACAAATACATATGATTAGGAGTCAAGAAATACGTATATTGCCTCTAGCATCAATGGACACGAATGGAAGAAAATCCCCTACCTTGATATTCTTGGAGAAGCTAGGTTTGATCTTTAATCCCCTTTAGAACTCTTGTTTTCCCCTTCTTTCTTCCTCTCTAAGTCTCTCTATTAGGGTTCTAAGAGGTGTGAAAGAATGAGAGTAAATGTAGTGAAAATGAGGTTTTAAAACATAAACATCTCGACTTTTTAACTGTTTACCGGTAGTTCGTATCGAGCTACCGGTAGTTCGGATCTACGGGACAGCGTATTACCTGTTGAGCTACCGGTAGTTCGAATCTACTGAACCTTTACTACTGTCGACTACCGGTAGTTCGAATCCACTGGATAACGTACTACCGGTAGGTCCTGTCCAAATTTGCCTATTTCCTCTATTTTTCATTTCAAACCCTTCCAACTCCAACCCAAGCTTGTTCAACATGCTTTTGTCCATCCAACCTAGTTAATACAAGTTCTATTACAACAATCTCATATAGTTGCAAGCTACACCAAGTTTTTAACTACTTTTTCCTCAATTTTCCATATTAACATTTTAAAAGAAATAATAACTTACTACATAAGCCTACATACATATATAAAGATAAAAGAGTGGGGTTTACAAGAATACACACACCAAAGTGGGTTTTGTTTATCACCAAACTAGATCTTCTTCTCCAATGTGTGAAGTTGAATAGGAATTGTTAGATATATGTTTGTAACTGGCTAATTTCATGGAGGTCATTGTAAATCTCAACCTATTCTATGGTTATAATGATATAGTAGTGCACTAAAAGCTTATTTTTTTTGTAGTGAAACTCGTTTTATTAATTACTAGAAGTTTGTTCTTTCCACTGTATTGAGAATCTATATGGGCAAAATGTTTGTATTATATTTAATTTATGGTATGCATGTGTGTCTTAAATTTTACATTATAGATAATTTTGTGTATAAAGTTCGGCTTATGCACAGAAGACCAAATTATCGGATCCTTATATAATATAAATATAGGTTCACAATCCTAGATGGTATCGAACACACCATTAGTATAGTTGTAGTGTAATATTCTGGTATAGTTTGTCATGACTGTAGGAGACGGTTTGATGTCTCGGATTATTGCACTAGTACACTTTGTATATTGAACAGACCCATGTTGAGGTTATTATTTTTTACTAATTCAATAAGATAATAAATACCTCATGATTATTATGATAGCTTATACTCTTAATCCCAAAATATTTAATTGTCACATGCATATAATGGTTGTCACTTTAATTCATCAAAAGGTGAGATTCATATTCATATTGAGTCAATAAGCTCGGTGAATTGGAAGACGATATTATTTGTATGGTGAAAATTAATTATTAAAGAAAATCACGTCCTAATATTTAAATGAGTTGTTGATGTCCTCTTGAGGAAGCTCATAAGTTTTGTCCATGTCAAACCCTATAAGTGTATTTAATTATCTAACATGACTAATAAGCTGAGTGGTAAAGTCTCAAGGAATAAAAGAAGTCAATTAAATATAATAATTAACGAACATCTACAATCTTAAATGTGGGGAGATTATTAAGCATATAATAATGAGCTCAAATATAATTTTGAGATAAGGTTCAGAAGATCAATAATAAGTTTTTAGAAGACTGACTTATTATTAATGGGTTGCAGGATTTTTGTTCTAGGTTGAACATAGGAATCCTAGACCCATTGGAAGCTCAGTCCTTATTTCTCCTTAGGGTTTTTGTCGTAGCCTATATATAAACTTCTAGGCTCTCTAATTCAGCATCTATTCTTTACTCGCATTTTGTAGAGAGGCCGAAAGGAAGAGGAAAAATTGGGAGGTTCTGGCAGCCCACTCTGTAACCAGATTCAGAAGGCCGCG